TAAAGTTCTGAAGCAGTCATGCAGCAATGATAGGCATGACAGCAAAGCTGATGAGGAAAGTAGCAATTCTGTACTGACTGTGGTTTTTAGAGATTTATAGTAAGAAAGGCCTGGGATCACACATGGAATGAGAGAGAAATACTGAAGAGTTATACACTCAGGAAGCTCCATGCATTCCATGCCCTGGATCCTCTGGAAAAAAATAATTTGTGATCATGTGATTAAAGGCCATATCATGGCACCTATGCACAAAGCAGCTGAACTAAAAATACATGGGAAATCTTAATTTGTGGGGAGGCTAATTTTTGAGCACTTGCCTTTGCCATATTAATGTGCTTTGAATGTAGGCTGGGAAAGGGTGTAATTTTACATATCCATTGTTTAAAGGTATGTCTGAGGCACCGGGTTAGGGTTTGGAAAGCTGACTTCATTCCTAGTTTTTCCACAAACTGCATTGTATAAGACATCTCCCTGGGCCTCAGCTCCTCTTTCTCTGAAAAATGGAAATAAGAAAATCTACTTATTTCCCAGGTATATTCTGAAGAAAAAATCATTTATGAGGTGCTTACTTACTGTTGTGGTGGATACCACATAAAGAGCTATTTTACATTACATTACATATATAGCTATTATAACATGTTATAGTTTCAGAGCAATATACAAGCATTGACTAATGAAACATGGCTAACTTTTTACCATTTTCTTTCCTTTTAAAGAAATTATGAAAAACTATAATGAAGACATCACTTCACACACATCTCCAGAGCTCCTAAGTACCAGAAGGGGAGTGAGATATTTAATCTCTACATTGAGTCACATCTTCCCACTCAGTTATATAAAAACAGGTAAACTCTGTCCAAGAAAGTATGTTACAGTTAAAAGAAAATGAATTCTGAAATTTCAGCTCTGACGTAGAATGTATGTAGCATATTGCTATTCTCTTGCACAGTATTCTTCAGCTGTACTTTCACATCTCATGTCTGAGAAGTGTGAAGGTTTTTTCTCCGTAAAAGTTTCTGTCATGTTTACTTCCAGAAAATATTAAGATCCTGCTAGACTCTCCTTCTTATGTGTATGGAGGGAGGTTAGGGGATTTGCATGTAACTTTTCTAGTGGGTGCTAAAGAAGAATCCTGCTCTGTGACATCATTTCTTCCTGCAGTACTGCAGGAAAACTTCCATTGAGGAAAAGCTTTCTGGGGTTTTGGAATTTAAATTCAGAGAGGCAGATAGGGTGAATCAGGGACCACCTGGATTTGGTGCCTTTTCCTGCCATTCCTCTGACTTTTCAGATGTAAATGAACATTTCCTGAATCAGTAATAATTCCAGGTGGGTGCTCTCTGCTGCTATGCTATTCTGCCTGAAGTAAAGGAAGCAGTGCAAAAAGAGATGCCTTCTTACTATGACTTGGCCTCAACTAGAGGCCTCAACCCCCCAAAACTAGAATTTCCTCGCCTCACAGTCTCCTCTGATTTCCCCCATATCCCTTCTGCCTGGCCGGGTCTACAAAAGACATTGACTGCACAGTAACCCATTACTGCTTTGCAGTTGTATTGTATGGCAGAAACTGCGACACAATGCTACTACACAGTAGTAACAAGCTACTGTGCAGTCAGCATCACCTAAAAGCCATTCAGCAATGCTGCTGCACAGTAATTCCAGTTACTGCACAGTCATTTACTACTTGTGTATACAAATACTAAATTACTGTGCAGTAATGACTACACAGGCAGTGTTTTGTGTAGATGCGGCCCCTGAGGAGACAACTGGCTGGATATTCCCTGAGAACTACTTTAGTGAAACTTCCAGCCTCTGCTTCTCCATCTGAGAGGCTCCTCCATAGAAGAAGATAATCTAGCCCCACGTATTTACATTAAGAGTGGTAATTTTGACAGCAGCCTGCCCCCCTCCCCCCAACTCATTCACTTTAACTGAAGCAGGAATGGGGTAAAAGGTTAAAATCTCTGAACATACCCACTTACTTGAGCTGAAGAAATGTAATGTTTTCAGGAATGAAGACATGAGGATCATTTCTTTGGTTCTATACTGTGATTAACATCTGTATGACAGGCACAGTTCCATACAGGCTGAAAGCACAGCTTCCACTGGTTATTTTATCTCCTAATATGTATGTGCCATGTAAAGCACAGCACTCTGGGCTTCAGTTTGAAAAATGCTGAAGTATATCATTGGTATAGTATCAGTTATACTATACCAAGATGGTGCCAGTAGCTCCATGTCAGTGGCCCCCTCTCTCAGTCCTCTTCTCATATAGCTAAGAACTAGCTAGGACACTCTCTCATTTGCAAAAACAAGATGAGCAGGGAGGTCCCAATCTGCTGACCCCTGCTTATTACCTTTACCTTGCAACCTCACTATAGTCCCTGCTTTGAGTCCACATACAGATCAAACACTTACCAACAAAGCCAGGTAAGTATGTGATTTTAATAAGCAGATAATTGGTACTGCCTAGTACCACATTCCACCCCCTGTACCAGTCATACCACCCTCCCTGGTCTGTTTAATTTTCTTTTTCCTCCTTCTATAGTGGTGAATTTTTCATATTGTGTGTGGATTGACAGCCCAGGTCAGGTTTGCAAAACTGCCACCCTCTGACCGTTCCAGTTACACTTCATAGATTTTCCATGCAAAGCCCATAAGAAGTGAATTTATTGTATCTCTGGAGTGCAAGAGTAAAACCAAATCAGCCAGACAAAGCACTCTAAGCAGTCTTCAGCTTTGATTATTTGGGACACACTATCCATGCGTGCAACTGTTTTCATAACTGTTTAGGGCAGGGGCTATCTTAGCTCTTGTGTATTATATGGTACTTAACATTTTACCAACACCCGATTCAGCACATTAGCAAAAAACAGGAGTTAAGTAGCACAATCAAGCTCCTTGCATCTGATCTGATCTAATTCTTCTCTCACCTCACACTGACTTCATCAACTGCAATGGAGCTATTCTTAATTCAAGATTAAGTAAATAATAGGGAAGTCAACTCACTGACTTCAGAGGAAGCTGAGAGCGCTAAACACATTGCAAAAGTCAGGCTCTAAACAAATAACAAATGAAAATATTAATATCTACATACTTACACAACATAGAAACAGTGCCTGACTAATTACCCCTTTATCACAGGTGTCTTTTGAGGGCTACAACCCATTTTGATTTGTTCTTTTTCTAGAAGACAATCATAATGCCATTGTTAGGAAGTTCATCTGAACTATGCACCAGTTATGTATTATTCACTGCTAATGTACAGTGCATTTATGTTATTCACTTTTGCAAACAGTAAGGAACTTTATTATCTAGCTTGAAATTAAAAGTGGAACAGATCATTGGAATGAGATTTATATCTGACCCAGAGACTCCAGGGTTTTATTAAAGATAAAACATGTGAAATAAAATGTAAAAGACACAAATATTGTTTTTAAAGGCTTTTTCAGTACAACTTAAGTCATAGTTAAAATCTATGCTCAAAAGAGATATACATAAAGGGAAAAAGCTGCAAAATGTTTAGGGGAAAATTGCAACAGGGAAAAATACTGTTAAAAAAGAAGTCAGTATAAAATGGATAAATCTGATCTGATGCATTGTGCAAGGATACAGTAATGGTTTCTGTATGAATCTTGATCTCAAAAGGTGTTCCAGCTATTACAGGACATCTGTGATAAACTTAGGATAGTTGGACTCTTTGCCAAGAACTGATGTACAGGGCTTCATCCTGCTCCATTGAAACCAGTGACAAGCACTAATAATAAGCACTCTAGACTTTACCTCTGCAGCCAGGAAGTGGAACTGGACTATAAATAAAACTCAGGGGCCTTACCCTTCATCCCTTCCTCCCCTGAGAGAGACTTCAATGCAAGTAATGGTCACTTGCCTAACTAAGGCTCTCAGGATGGAGCCTATTTCTAGGCAGCATCCACAATCAACATAAGACACAGCTAGAAAATTCACATTCTGCATCCATTATCTTCCCTAAACCTATTCTTACAAGACCAGTTCCTACTGACTCTGCCTAGAAGCAGCCTGAATTAAGCAGGACTAGCCTGCCTGAACCAAAACAGTCAGGGTCAGCTCACTGAACACAGAAGACTGAATGTTACATCAGGGGGTTACAATCAAGCGTAAACATTTGCTTCCTCCCTTCTGAAGATCTTTAGGATTTTTTAAATCCTCTAAGTAAAACTGTCCACCCCAGCTCAGGTAAAATAATGGGTCTCAAAGTACTATTTAGGTTTTGTACACAATACGCCTGTTCAAAAGTCCAGTTCAGCCAGCTACTGAAATTAAGGGGAGCTTCCCATGCACAAGGAATGCAAACTCCAGCTCTTGCCCTCTGGAGCAGTGGTTTTGAAACTTTTTGAATCCCGTGTCCCTAGTTGGTTACAGTACCATGCACCCCATGAGTCCTGGCTATGAATTACTAAAAAAGCAACATTTTATGACAAGGCAACATATTATATCACTCCCAACAACCTAAGAGATATTATAGAGTTGTCGTTTTTCCTCCTATTACTTCCATAAATAATTTTCCTTTCCTTCCTTCTGCTTTCCCAATTCTTCCTTTCAGGCAGCCCCCTACAAGTCCCCAAGGATATGCACATCACATTTGGAGAAGCTATAGGGAAAGCTGTACCATTGACCCAGTGGGAGAAGAATCATTTGCTTACTGGGATCTATTGCCCCATTGGCAGTTTCAAGGGATGCTTCCTCATGCTGTCCAGCTGTTCCCATTTTCCTACTTTCTGAAACCTAACAGCCACCACATTCAAAACTGTTTGGATGCTGAATGGCGCATATCAGCAGACAAATAAAAGCTGTCAGAAATTCCAAGAACACTCCTTGTCCCAGGCTATTAGATGAGACAAACCTAATTACAGTGCCATGCTTAGAAAAGTTGCTGCTTTTGCATTCTGCTCACCTAAAGCCAGCTTACATTTATTTTCATGCCAGAAGTCAGGGTGCAACAAAAAGCATAATTATTCAGGTTAGTAGCTGATGGCATTTATTGGCATCGTTTATATATTTCTGAAACATACTAGTTCATTTATAGTACAAAGGGGTCAGAAATGAGAGAGAGAAACATTTTGCCCAAGTATGAACACCATCATTCTTTGAACTAGGCTGGCACTTGAAGAAAAACGATTAAAATTCTTGCCTGACCTCATTTATTTAAATAAATATAAATATAACTTTGATATAAAACTATTCACATACAAAGGGACGACTGTCATTTTTAAAAACTCTGTACAGATGATTGGCAAATAGACCTAAACGTTTTTCTTTTATGTCTAAATCCTCAGCGTCAGAACATTCAGTCAACAAACAAACAAACAAACAAACAAACCATGAAATGAGATCTTCTTAAACTGTACTGGGAAGGGGGGGTGGAGGGAGAAACCTGTCATGCACATAGGAAATTATCCAGTCCCGGGTTCGCTCATGAATGTTTAAGTCGCGTTTTCGCTGAAACTCTCACGACTGAAACATGTACATTCAAAAATATAGATCTAGGGCTGGGGCTCGGGTAAAAGTAACCTCACGGGAGAATGGAGCCGAAAAAGAACTGCGTCCTTGTGTGTGTTTGCTCCTAGCAGGATGGCAGCTCGCGGCAGGTGAATGAAGCGGCCTCAGCCCCGGCTCCAGTGTCTGGCTCCGGCTTGCCCCCATATGGCCGAGCAGCGAGTTCAGAGAGCGGCGGCGCCAGGTTCAAGGGAAGCCGCGGGTGCTCTACAAGGGGGAGATCTCTTTGTCCTCAGGGGCCGACGAGGGGGATAAAGACTCCTCGTCCTCCGAGCGGGGGTAATGCCCCTGGCTGCTGGCGCACTTGCAGCCCCCGTGCCCGTTCCTCGGGGTGCCCTTGCCCTCCTTCTTGTGCTTCACTCGGCGGTTCTGGAACCAGATCTTCACCTGCTTCTCGGACAGGTTGAGGTAGGTGGCGATCTCGATGCGCCGGAGCCGCGACAGGTACATGTTGGAGGAGAACTCCCGCTCCAGCTCCAGCAGCTGCGTGCTGGTAAACGCCGTCCGCATCCTCTTGCCGTTCGGGATCTGGCTGGTGTCAGAGCCGCCTGGACGAGGAGGGAGAAACAGGGAAGAAAGTCACACTCCTCTCCCTTGGGACCCGTGCCCCATCACTCCCTCCCTCCCTCGCTCGCTCCCGCCCCGCACCCCCGCCCGCCGGGTGCGGGCAGGCAGGCGGGCAGGGCCGCGCTCCTACCCATGCCGAGGCAGTGGAAGCGGCGCGGGTCGCTGACGCTGTAGGTGGCGGCGGCGCAGGCAGGGGCGTGATGCGTGGGGTGGCCCAGCGCCGCGGCG